ATTGAGAAGTGCGGAAAGAGAAAAGTGGAAATCTTGATATGAATCGCAAGGTGGGAGGTGCGTGATCGATGTTCGCAAAGTTGTACAGGCGACGACGAAAACTGTTTGGTAATTTCTTATCTGTGGCCGCTGCCGTTTGGTTGTTTCCTGGGTCTTCTTATAGCCAGATATGAATCCTAGAGGATTGGTCATCAAAGGAAAAGAGTATTATATTTTTTTGGGGCATGGGAGATACTGGAATGAATATGAATCTAATCTACCGGCTTTGTTACCGAGCGTGAGGACAAGGGCGAGACCTGAAAGTGAAAGCTCAATAGGTGGGCATTTTAACGAAAACCAACATTCGTTCTTTATCCTGTTCACGGGGCAGAGGGCGCCCACTTCCCATCTCCTTTCCATGTCCATCTCCGTTCTTTGGATGTTTGCTTCCTAACTTTTTGTTCGTCAGTACTCATGTTCAGAATTCCTTCAGAATCTTCAGAAAGAGACAGAGAATTCATTTCAGGTTAAAGTATGTATTTCTTTTGTTGAGATGCAGTACCCTTTATGCATATTACAAGTTGAGTATAGTAAAAAAAAAAAAATAATTAATTATAGATCCAATCAAGTTACAAAACTAACAAATGTGACGAGCTGATGAAGGCCTGTTAATTCTATGGGTCGGATGCAGCATTTGGATGAGTTATTTTGGTATTAATTCTATGGGTTGTTCGGATGCAACATTTGGATGAGTTATTTCGTCCGCATAATGAGTCAATTGAAACACATCATCTCTCTAGACATTTCAATTATCTCACTTTTCCCTTTTTTAAGTGATGAAATACCATAATATATAAATGATCTATTCAAACAAGACAATTAGACTAATTACCACATTCCAAGATCAAATATCACATGAAATGCCACATACCTAAACAATACAACATTTTGATTCAAAATAACCAAAATGATGCAGTATTTCAATCAATATCCATCGGTGGTGCCCGGGCTAGCCAAAGATAGAATGGGTCCTTAGAGTACGAGTCTAAGGGATTACGGATTACGTACCATACAATTTGCGAAGAAATCTTAAATAAGTAGAATGATAATACGTCTACGGGGTTGACCTCTCTGTATTTTAGGATAGATTGCTCGAAACACCTGAGCAAGAGGACTTTTTCAGTGGCCAGAACAACCACAAAATTATCACTTCTACTATTTTTAAAAGTATTGGTGTTTTAGTATAACTTGAAGTTGTACCATAACGTTAAAAGTATAAATTGAAGTTGTACCATAAAGAAATTTTACAAAAGAGTATAGGTACAACTCGAAGTTGTACCATAACGTTAAATATATAACTTTAAGTTGTATCACAAAGACAAAAACTGAAGCAACAATGCTCTAAAGCATTGCAAACTTCTTTCCACAAAATATCTATGAAACTACTTAACAAACAACAAATACAAAGAAGCATTATTGAGTAACAATCTTCTTATATTATTAACCATAGAGAAACCAATTATTTATAGAGTTACACAATCAAATCTCTCTTTTTTTTTTCTTCCTCTCACTCTAGTCTTAGTCTCTCTCTTTCTCCTTTTTTTACTCGTATTCCCTTTCTTCCCTTACAAAAAAAAAACTTTAATTAAATATTAAACATAAACTAACACACTTCATAATCCAACTAAAACCCTTATACCGAATAGTGATAACAAAACTTCCTAAAATAATACAAAAAATAAATTAAGAACATATTAAACAATATGCAAACAGGCTCGGATACTGTTATGCACCCATCAGTAATTAATATGGACCCTTCCTTTTAAATGAGCCTAGAAAATTCATATAAGGGGAGAATTAAAGACATTTTCCCCATTTGTTTTATTAATCGTTGTGCTCTACAAAATGATATTCATTTTCAATATTTTTTGAGAAAAAAATTTCATGCCTCTCGTTACGAATTGCATACCATATGTTATCTTCTTCGTTTTTAGGTCGTTTTTGAAATTTTTTGCACAGAAGAAACAAATTCATCATGATCTATTGGATCTACAAATTTCTGGGTGAAAAAAATACAGAACCAAAAAATACCACACAATACCATCATGGAACGGGGTGGTATCTTGTGGTACACAATATTGAAGTCGTAAATGAGCCTAGAAAATTCATATGGACCCATCAGTAATTAATATGGACCCTTCCTTTTAAATGAGCCTAGAAAATTCATATAAGGGGAGAATTAAAGACATTTTCCCCATTTGTTTTATTAATCGTTGTGCTCTACAAAATGATATTCATTTTCAATATTTTTTGAGAAAAAAATTTCATGCCTCTCGTTACGAATTGCATACCATATGTTATCTTCTTCGTTTTTAGGTCGTTTTTGAAATTTTTTGCACAGAAGAAACAAATTCATCATGATCTATTGGATCTACAAATTTCTGGGTGAAAAAAATACAGAACCAAAAAATACCACACAATACCATCATGGAACAGGGTGGTATCTTGTGGTACACAATATTGAAGTCGTAAATGACAGTTAGTACACTCCTACTATCATGTATTCAACCTTCCTACAGTCTTGGTATGTACATACCACCATGGTACGCTTTATACCATATGATATGCTCTTATTTCAATACCTGTCAATACCATATGGTATAGACTGGTAAAAAATGGCTCAATTTTTTTTGTTCCAAAAATATATCAAAGTGAATATCATTTTGAAATATATAATTAATATGATCTAACTGCGCAAAAAAATTTAAATTTCAACTTAAAACGCGTAAGAAATCGTTCGTTAAACATTAATATGTTTAACAGAGAAATAAATAAAAATTTTATAAGGAAGAAAAGAGACGCTGATGTGATACCTGATGATTAGGTTATGCATAGTTATCTACCTAGTTACTAAGCGGATCCGCTCCATGAACCTAATTCTTCTAATTATCACGCCTGTTCGATCTCGCGAGACAAATAACTTCTTTACCTGCTCTACCTTATATTATTTTTCTTTCTTCATTGTGTGGGGTAGGAACCGGTGCAGGGCTCAGCTGAGGTGAGGTAACGGCACTTGTCATCCTCCCCAAAACAGGAGTCAGGCAAAGGCAGCCTTCAACTTACCAACCAAGTGTTGTTGTAATGCATGATCATGACCCACTCTTCCAATTGTTAATTAGCCACACCCCCAAAATAAGTATTTTTTTTTGGTAGAACCAAAATAAGTCTTTAATACTTAGCTTTGGGATTTTGATGGTTATACAATTTTAGGAGGAACGCCTACGTTGACCAATGATTTTAATTAAGGGCAAAAGTATTATTGATCACACTTTGACATCTTTTTTGGCACAACCTTGTGTTTTGTTAGGAAATGGCACTAACTTAATTCAGGAGGCCGGCAGTTCTGACTGGGAGTTCCCCAAACATATGTCTTCAAACTTATAGAGAACTAACAGAATGGATGGCTTGTCCGAGGACCCCGCCTCTTTCTCATGATGGTCCCACTCAGCTGAGGGGAACCCTTCCCACTACGAATCCCCCGCCCAGTAATCATTCTTTGGTGATTCACTGTGATGGGTCGTTCTTTAGCGACTCCCAGTCGGCGGCTTATGGTGTTGTTGTTGTTGTTAACCACTATGGACAAGTGTGTGATGGGAGAGCTGAGTCTCTTCTTTGTTCCACCCCGATTGAAGCAGAAGCGAAGGCACTTTTGGAAGGTATTAAATTAGCACAAGAATATGGATCAGTTTGTACAGTTCAATCTGACTGTCAAATTTTGGTGAAGGCCCTGAACCATAATCAGACTCGATGGCCCTGGAGATGTGCAGCCTGGATTAGGACAATGGTTGATATCCTTAGGAATAACCCTACAATTTCGGTTATAGAGGTTCCAAGGGCGTTGAACGTTAGGGCTGATTGGGTGGCACGATCTAAAGCTAGATCTACTCTGCCAGAAGACTGGATTAGTATTCTTGACCTAATTTCTGATCTCCTTTAAATGTGTAATCGCTTTTTAGCTCGTTTCTTTCAATGGTGGAATAAAAGTTGGAATATTTTCAAAAAAAAAAAAAAAAAATCAATATGATATTGAGACGATGAGAACTAGGTCAGATTATTGTGATTATATAAAAATGCAAACCTTAAATCAAAAAATAAAAATGAAAACCTTGTGATAATTGAAAGTGTGAATTATTAAAATTTTGCTAGGGTGGGATGATGAACTGTTTTACCTAATTTGTTTAGCTTGGGCTGGGTATGAGTCGGCCCGACCTGTACTGATTCGCTTCATTATTGACCCATTCTTGTCTAAATTACATGTAATCTTAGTCAAATTACTTAGGATTTTCCTTTTATTATATCATATTTTAGCTATCATAAATTTGTAAATAAGTGAAAACCTCAAATTTTCCAATAAATTAACTACGCACATTTATCATATTATGGTTTGGTTCTTTGTCCTCTAATGAAAATACCGAATATTTCTATGGTTTTCATATAAATTACATATCTAATGGGTTGACCTGCCCCGATCCGCGTTCCATGATAAATTACCCGACTTGGACCCAACCTTCCATGGGGCAGGTATGAGTATCAAGATACCCACGCTAGACCTGCCCATTGTCATTCCTAGGTGGAGTTAGGCACACTCTTCGCTCCAGATTCATATGCGAGAACTCTGAAAATTACATATTAATATCTATTAAATTCAAAAAGAATTCGCCATTCTTGTCTCCGTCTAAGGCTGTGCAAAACCCGCAGTGTCCGCCTCCTTTCAGTTACAAATCGGCTCTGGCAGGATCACCGGTGCAATCTCCGTCCAAATCCCAGGCGTGGACATTCATTGGCGAACATGACCTGCAAGCTGGTCTTTACCAGGGAGAGCCGGAACTAAAAGTCTCACCGCAGCTTAAGGAATGCCTCTGTATTCCTTGGAAACGCACCCTGGTAGCTCGTCTCCTGGGCCGATCTCATATCAATATCTTTGTTCGCAGCTATGCTGGAAGTGGAAGCCTAGTGGGAATATGGAGATCCTTGACCTCAACAACTCTACCTTTCTTGTTAACTTTAGTGAGGAGAAAGACTACCTCAATGCACTTACTGGCGGGCCTTGGGTGATCTTGGATCATCGGTCGGTGGTAGCTTGGGTCCAGCTACCAGAGCTTCCGATCCATTTCTATCATAGGGAAGTGCTCTTCGCGTTGGGAAATTTGTTGGGAAGAACGGTGAAACTCGATTACCACACGGAGCACATGGAGCGAGGAAAATTTGCTCGGATTGCCGTCGAGCTGGACATGAACAAGCCCTTAAAAACTCACATTCGGCTCGATAGATTATGGCAACAGGTGGTGTATGAGATTCTCCCGAAAATTTGCTTCGAATGCGGCCACATCGGACACACTGAATCGACTTCCCCCAGATTGCACCGGCCGCCGCCGACTGAGCCACAAATTCAAACGACCAACCAGGGTCCGGCGCCGGAAAACTCGTCGGCAGAACCGCCGGCAGGTTACGGTCCATGGATGCAGGTGGTGAGGAAAACGCGCAAGCAAACAAGGAAAGCCCAGATCAATCAAGGCGCCTCTCAAGGCAATCCAACGGGCAAAAGCGGAGGTCAAGGAAAATTATTTCCTAAAACGGGGAAGAATGAGCTAAGCGGGGACAACAATATTGTGGAAGCTAAGAAAAAGAAAGGAAAGTCGGAACAGAAAGGGGAGCTGAAGAAAGGAAGGGGTATTTCACATAAGGGGAAGGAGAGGAGGTCGTAGATAGAGTGTCTAAAGAGACGCAAAAAACGGGTCCTTCACAGGCCTGGCGGGTTGTTGGGCCCAAAGATATAGAGAATCAGGCTTCATCTTCTCAGCCCACTGGGACAGCGATTAGTGACCAAACAATGAAGGACCAGCCTGAAAGAAAGTCCACCGAAGCTGACCCAGATCATTAATTGAGTCTCACACCCGACAAGCCCAACCCCTTGTGCATCGTTTCCTCTTCAGTGTCATCTGCTAAGGAATCCCAGGAGAACATGTCGATCAGAAAGCATTTCAGGAAAAAATCAAAGGGTGTTAGCTCCCCAGCGAATAACAAGAAGGGCACTAGTCTCCGGGGGTCGAAGTTGGGTCATAGCGCGATTACGAGCACACGGGATGGCAAAAGACCACTGATAACATCGGATTTGCACATGTTTGCACCCTTGTTTCTTGATCATTTTGGCTTGAGTTTTTGCTTTCTTGGACTATTTTACACTAGGTTGTGTTTCTTTGTCACATTTCAGGTCCTAGCATGTAAATTAAAGCATAGGCGCAAGTTTCAAGTCTATCAGAGATCATTTGGCAATTCGGGAGAAGAAACACGAGCATGACCTGCGGAATAATGGACTTCTACCTCATATTATGGATAAATAATCATGGAATTTTGTCATGAAAATAAAGAGGACGAGACTACGAGCGTCTGGGATCAAACGGCGACTGATTCGGAGTCCGTACGAGGGAGAAACGAAGCATTAAACAGAGGCTGAGCAAGTCACACGGGCAAGCCTAAAAACCCACACGGCCGTGTGACCTGGCCATGTGGCCGTGTGGAAATCACTGAGCCTTCACACGGGCAGCTGGGAAAGCCACACGGCCGTGTGGCCTGGCCGTATGATCGGGAATTTATGGTTAAAACCCGATTTTCAGCAAAAGGAAAGGGGAGAGCTGGGTTTTTGGTTCCAAAACACCCAAGGGACGAACCCTAGAGAGAGAGAGCAACTTGGGAACATTCTTGGAGCTATTTTGGAGGATTTCTTCGCCATTGGAGCTCGGGAATCAAGCTTGGAGATGGAGATTGAAGATCTAGATCAGATTTCTGCAGTCTCTCTCTTCTCTATGGAGTAACTTTCCTTCACCTAGGTTTTGAGGAACCCTAGTTCCATGTGTTAGGATCTTTCTTGTATGAAGTTTTGGATGCTATATTATTTGATTAAAATCGATTGAGGCATGATTTATTGAGTCAATTGAATCTTGATCAAATTCTCTTGATTTCGGCTTTAACCTATGATAGATAGAATCTGATTAGGTTAAGAGAGCTTCCTTGATTGATAGTGGTGAATTGGTTGTGCGAGAGTCAATCAATTTACTGTTTTGTACTGGAATTCATTCCAGTAGTGGAGTTCTGTGCTTATAGCCTCAGCTTTCTATCCTGGTAAAGACTAGTCGTCTGCCGGGTAGTTGGACTGAGAGGGCTTGGTCAGCTTAAGAGATTCCAAGCTAATTTAGGATCTTCCGCAGTTTGATCAACAGTAGATCAACCAAAGGTAATTGCAACTTGGACCTAATTGAGGAGGTAGGGGGAATCATACCTAAGTGAGTTCCCAATTTGTAATTAGTAGAGTAGTCAGTAGAGTAGTTTATAAATCAATCCTTAATATAGTTTGCTAGATAATGAACTGAAGCTGAGTAATAGTAACTGTAGAGGCCCGTGGATTCGATATTTATTACTTGTGCCACTATACTGCAGTCCTTTTCATTGGTTACACTTGGCCATTGTTAGGTGTTGTGTTTTAGCGTGTCAAGTTTTTGGCGCCGTTGTCGGGGAACTTTCTAGATTATTAGGAAAGGCAGAAGTTTGTTACTTTAGTGTTTTTCTTTTGGAATCTTAAACATGGGGTAATGGTGACTCTGTTTGGATTTTGTTATGGACTCGTGTATCGAACAAGGTGCTCATGTGGAAAATGAAAAGCAGTTGGTCCTCCATGTCGAAATCATTGAAATCTTAAACATGGGGTAAGCCCAACGTGTGTGGCACCGTTCATTGCACAAAATCGGGTTTTGGAGGAGATTTTAGTGATCCTTAGTGGGGTACTCCTACAAGGTGAAGCTAAGCTGTCTCTAGTACAAGTAAAACTTCCACCCGTTGAACGGTTTGCCTACTTGAGGATGTGTTTTTAAGGGCACGGATAGAGCTTTCGACCCCCCTTAATTTCATTGACCCTCCACTCGAGTTGAGGAAAAGGAGTTAAAAGAAGTACTCTGGCGAGCACCAGATGTACAAAAATTGCTCTTGCTCGACTAATAAGGGTCGACCGTGCAAAAGACTGTAGTTGGAACCCCCGCCAAGTGAATGAAGAAAAAAAGAGAAAAATAAATGTAAATGAAAGTGCAAAAAGGGGTTCCAACGGTGAAATGAAGTGAAAGAGCACCCTGGTACAACGAGTCCTTGGTTGTGAATGGTGTGAGTCCCTTTTTCCATGAACTGGCGGTCTTACTTCCACTTCTTCTCATGATCCTGGCTTGAGTCTAGTACTCGCATTGAGAGAGATATGGGATGTCTTAGAAGACCAGTTGACCTTGTAAGCTGCTATATGATCTAGGAAATCCTCTACCGACGATCGAGGTTGTTTGTTGCTATAGAGGTCTGGAGAGCTGCATTGGTTTGAGTTAGATTTGCTTGGGGACGAGCAAACGGTTAAGTGTGGGGGAATTTGATAATATCAGATTTGCACATGTTTGCACTCTCGTTTCTTGATCATTTTGGCTTGAGTTTCTGCTTTCTTGGACTATTTTACGCTAGGTTGTGTTCCTTTGTCACATTTCAGGTCCTAGCATGTAAATTGAAGCATAGGCGCAAGTTTCAAGTCAATCAGAGATCATTTGGCAATTCGGGAGAAGAAACACGAGCATGACCTGAGGAATAATGGAATTCTACCTCATATTATGGACAAATAATCATGGAATTTTGTCATGAAAATAAAGAGGACGAGACTACGAGTGTCTGGGATCAAACGGCGACTGATTCGGATTCCGGACGAGGGAGAAACGAGGCATTAAACAGAGGCTGAGCAAGCCACACGGGCAAGCCTAAAAACCCACACGACCGTGTGACCTGGCCATGTGGCCGTGTGGAAATCACCGAGCCTTCACACGGGCAGCTGGGAAAGCCACACGGCCGTGTGGCCTAGCCGTGTGATCAGGAATTTCTTGTTAAAACCAGATTTTCAGCAAAAGGAAAGGGGAGAGCTGGGTTTTTGGTTCCAAAACACCCAAGGGACGAACCCTAGAGAGAGAGAGCGACTTGGAAACATTCTTGGAGCTATTTTGGAGGATTTCTTCGCCATTGGAACTCGGGAATCAAGCTTGGAGATGGAGATTGAAGATCTAGATCAGATTTCTGCAGTCTCTCTCTTCTCTATGGAGTAACTTCCCTTCTCCTAGGTTTTGAGGATTCCTAGTTCCATGTGTTAGGATCTTTCTTGTATGAAGTTTTGGATGCTATATTGTTTGATTATAATCGATTGAGGCATGATTTATTGAGTCAATTGAATCTTGATCAAATTCTCTTGATTTCTGCTTTAACCTATGATAGATAGCATCTGATTAGGTTAAGAGAGCTTCCTTGATTGATAGTGGTGAATTGGTTGTGCGAGAGTCAATCAATTCACTGCTTTGTACTGGTGATGACTCGATATTTGCACATGTTTTCCCCTGTGTTTCTTGATCGTTTGAGCTTTAATTATCACATCTTTGGCCTATTTTACGCTAGGTTATGTTCCTTTGTCATATTTCAGGTCCTAGCACATAAAGTGAAGCATAGGCGCAAAGTTCAAGTCAATCAGAGATCAATTGACGATTCTGGAGAAGAAACTCGGGTATGACCTGAAGAAGAATGGATTTCTACCTCACTTCATGAACAAAGAATCATGCAAGCTTGTTATGAAATGAAAGAGGACGAGACTACGAGCGTCTGGGATCAAACGGCGACTAATTCGGAGTCCGGACGAGGGAGAAACGAAGCATTGAACAGGCTCGGCAGTGAAAACACGGGCAGTAGGCCTTCAGAACACGGCCGTGTTCTGTGACCGTGTTTTTACTGCCGAGAGCTGATTTGAGTTTGGCCAACTCGAGCTGAAAACACGGGCGGGCTGAGGCAAAGCACGGCCGTGCCCTCGACCGTGTTTTGCCCAGAATCGGGTTTTTTAACCCAAATTCGAGCCAAAGGAGAGATAGAGCTGGGTTTTGGATCCAAACACCCAAGGGACGAACCCTAGAGAGAGGGAGCTGGGTTTTGGATCCCAAACACCCAAGGGACGAACCAAAGAGAGAGGGGGCGATTTGAGGGCATTCTTGGAGTGGAATTGGAGGATTTCTTCACATTGGAAGCTCAAGGAACAAGCCCGGACTTGAAGACTGATCATCATAAGATTCTTACTGCAGTCTCTCTCTTCTCTATGGAGTAACTTCCCTTCACTTAGGTTTTGAGGAACCCTAGCTATGTCTGTTTGATTGGATGATTGTATGAGTACTCCTACTTGATAATCTTGAGTTCATATTCAATCTATGCATGTTTTCATGATTCAATTCTGCTTTAGTCGAGATTATTGATTCTGCTTTGATCCTATGAGAGCGAATACCTGATTAGGTCAATAGAGCACCATAGATTGATAGTATTGGATCGATTGCTTTAGTCGAGGGTTGATTCAATGCTTTGTATCGATTGAGAACCTCATTCGATAGAGGGAATCTAGTTCAGAACGCCTTGATCAGTTGTTCTAGAGAAGGATACGTCCCTCTAGGCAATTGACTCAAGAGGGCCTTGTTCCTTTGGTCGAGACTCAAGGTCTAGTTAAGGATTCTCCGCATTGTGAATGAAAGTGAAACATGTTAGAGATCATCAATCGTTAATCTGGCTAGTGGCTAGGGGGAATCATACCTAAGTGAGTTCCCAACCTGTAATTAGATTAACTTTAACTGTAGTTTGCTAGAGTAGTTTTAGTTCTTTCATCTTAATCTGG